ACGCCCCGGGCACCTGCCCCTTCTATCGTGAGATGGACGCCCTGATGAGCCCCTGGACCCTTGCCAGCACCTTTGATGCCTTCGACGTGGCAGGAGGCCTCCTGCGGAATAGAGGGGGCTCCCAAGAGAACCGGAAGGCCGTGCTGGAAGGTGTGATGGGAGACGGTAGCGACCCGGCAGAGAAGCCCCGAGAGGAGCCCAGGAGCCGTGGCCCCCAGGCTCTGAGGGGGAATCCCAGTGGTAAGCTCTCCTCCCCACAGCGGCCACAGACAGTGGGAGAGACGGGGGCCCGAGGGAAGCATTAGGGACTGTGAAGCGGGAGAGATGCTTCTTGTCTGTCACTCTGGAGTGACCTCCTCAGGTTAAGACCGATTTCTTAGCCAGTAGTGCAGGGTGACTCACAAAGACAACGTTGAGGGTCTTGCCTGCTCCCAGTCTGCTTTTAGCAACAACATCCTAGAAATAATATCAGTAACCATTATAGGAGGAAAGAGAGGTCCGAGTGATGTAAAGTTCCAGTCGTCTGTTTCCATCTAACATACCCTGTGCGTATTACATACAACAGTCTGCCACTGAAAGACTTCTCTGTTCTTGGGCAAACTGGTTAAACACCTAGGCCTCCATTGTCGCATCTGTAAAATGGACAGAGTATCTAGCTCACTGGGCTGTTATGAGGATCCTGGTACATTGCTGGCCCTCAGCAAATGTTCCTTTTCATTGTCGCCATCATTGTACTTACTGTTAAGATAGATGAACACCTTGCCCTGTACTCCTCACTTAAGGGGGCACATTTCCTGAGTCATTCACTAAACGATTTCTTCTGAAAACCAGATCTTTCTGGTAGGTGTTTCCATTCTCATTTCACCCACCACGTCCAGATATAAGAACAGAAGGCAGATTGCATAAGAACTCCATGTCCCTTCTTGATTTTCCTCGAGTAGGACTTCCAGTCCGCCAGCCAGACGGGGTCTCGAGGCCAGAGAGAAGTGAAGAGCTTTGGAATGACGATCCCCGGGACTTCCGGAAAACTTCCTGTGCAGGTGGGAAATGAATGAAAACGAGCAAAAGCTAGTATCGCACCAACAAGGAAGTCAGATCTGGAATTCCGAACATGGACAAGGCAGCACTGGGCGAGGGCTGGGAGGGGAACCCACTCACTTGGCCTTCCCGGTTTATTATGCAGGGGTGCTGAAGCCACAGGATGTGGGAGAACAGAAAAGCAGGTGGCAGCCAGGAAAGCCTACTCTCCTGAGTTACCGTGGCTTCTAGATAGATATAAACAAATCCTTAGTGTTGATGATTTCCCTCCTAAATTTCTTTTTTTAATGTTTATTTTTGAGAGAGAGAGAGAGAGAAACAGAGACAGAGAGACAGAAGCGAGCCGGGGAGGGGCAGAAAGAGAGAGAGGGAGACACAGAATCCGAAGCAGGCTCCAGGCTCTGAGCTGTCAGCACAGAACCCCAGGCGGGGCTCGAACCCATGAACCGTGAGATCGTGACCTGAGCCAAAGTTGGAGGCTTAACCGACTGAGCCACCCAGGCACCTCTAAATTTCTTTTTTTTTTTAACGCCCCCTTTATTTATTAAGTAAACATCTACCCCCAATGTGGGGCTCGAATTAATGACCCCAAGATAAAGAGTCACATGCTCTACTGACTGAGCCAGCCAGGCTCCCCTCCCTCTTAAGTTTCTATTAGAGTTTTAACTATAATTGACTATCACTTAACTAGATTAATAGAAAAAGTGAGCCCTGGCAACCCCAAATTAAACAACAGTCAGCCTTAGCTTATTGCAGGGGTGAATTTCTCATGGTTAAGATGAGCTTCCCTCCTTGGTTGGGCTCAGTCATTTTGTTGGAAGTTTAGGAGATCTGATAAATAGTACTGCTCTTCCCCCGCTCAGATTCCAGACCAACCAAGAAACGTAAGAGTAAGACGCTGAGATCAAATGACAGCTTTCTAACTGTAGAGCCGTTGGGCAGTGTGGCTCAGATGGGTGGCCACGGTGGGGTTCCGTGAGGAAGCTCAGTTGGAGCCACAGGCAGCAGGGGACGGCCACAGCCTCGCCCCGCAGGGATAGAGGCTTCACTGCTGGTCTTCTGAGCCACGGGGCCCAGCTCCTCGTTCATCAAAGAAGTGCTCCCTCCCAATTGCAAGGAAGGGGACAGAGAGAGGCCAGAATCGCTCTCAGGCTTGTCCCTCTGCCTGGAAGAGAAAGGTAGCCTTTTAGTACCGATTGCCAGCACACAGGTGGGTGGGGAGAAGAGGGGCCATGCCTGGGGGGCAGAGCATCTGATTGGCGGGGAGAGGAAGAAATGGGCCCCGGGTCCTGCCCTCCTCCCTTTCCTCAGCCTTCCTCCCCACCACCTGCTTGTTCAGAAGCTGGGGGAGGGAGTGAGATCTGGAAGTCTGCTGTCTTGAACGAGGTTCAGCCCTGTTCCAGATGATTGGTTTCTGGTTAATGGCAAACTGACTGTGTTCTATGTGTCACCGGCAAGAGTTTGTTTCCGACCGTCTGGTAGGGCCGCTTTCTCAGCGGTTCTGTTCTGAGCTCAGAAAACACGCTACATTTGCAGTTTCACCTCATTCTTTCAGATCTTGAAACAAGGACAGAGAATGAGGAGAATTCAAGCCAGAACATTTCAGAGGAAGCAGAACTGCCGGGGGCATTATTAGAAAGACCCGAAGTGGATGTTTCCCAGTACCTTGCCTGGAGGAGAGACTGGGAAGGCAAATATGGGGCAGAAAAGCAATGGGAGGTACCCTTAGAAGATGGACGAGGGTCACTCTCCCCTCCAGAAAGAGACGCAGGGAAATTCATAGGTCCTCAGGGAACCTACGTAGGAGAAAAATCCTATCCATGCTGTGAATATGGGGAAAATTTCAGCCAGAGCTCCCACTTAGCTGTCCACCGGTTAGCCCACATCGGAGAAAAGAAACCTTTTAGGTGTGGCCGTTGTGGGAAAAGCTTTGGCCGAAGCTCACACCTGGTCTGCCACCAGAGAACCCACACCGGGGAGAAGCCCTACAAATGCCCCGAATGTGGGAAAGGCTTCAGTGATCATTCTAACCTCACAGCACACCAGAGAATCCACACTGGAGAAAAGCCCTATAAATGTGGAGAGTGCTGGAAAAGCTTCAACCAGAGCTCCAGCCTCCTGATGCACCAGAGAGTCCACACAGGAGAGAAACCCCACAAGTGCAGTGAGTGTGGAAAGAGTTTCACCAATAGCTCGCACTTCAGTGCGCACTGGCGAACGCACACTGGTGAAAAGCCCTACCAGTGCCCTGAGTGCGGGAAGAAGTTCAGTAAGAGTTCCACGCTCACCAGCCACCAGAGGATCCACACAGGAGAGAAGCCCTATGAGTGTCTCGAGTGTGGCAAAAGTTTCAGTGACCGCTCAAACCTCATTACCCACCGGCGAATTCACACTGGAGAGAGGCCCTACAGGTGTGGCGAATGTGGGAAGAGCTTTAATCAGAGCTCAAGTCTCATCATACACCAGAGGACCCACACGGGAGAGAAGCCCTACGAATGCGGTGCCTGTGGGAGGCGATTTAACAACAGTTCGCATTTTAGTGCGCATCGGAGAACCCATGTGGGCGAGAGGCTCTAAATGTCTTTAAGAAGCATCAAATCTAGAAGCACCACAGAATCTGTTCTAAGAAAGGTCTGTATGGTCCTTGATTCTATACCACGACCCCCACAGGAGATGGGAGACCAGGGATTTAGGTCCCAGTTCGGTAGAGGTCATTGTGTTTCTCTCACTGAAAACTCAGCTGGCTTACGGAACACTACTCAGGGCTTGCTTATCCGCGCTATTGAAATGGAAGCTAATTTCCAGAGAATTCAGAGACTCATTCTGAATTGGACTGTACCACCGTCACGATAGGTCTCCATTAGGATTCTGTGCCTTAACTTCCACAGCTTGGTAATATGAGGGTGAGACTCTTGTCCCCAAGACCCCCCCTTCAAGGACAGAGGAGGTCCGCCCCGCGGTGCTCATGGCATTAACGGTGGCCGGCTCCGCCACAGGGCCGGTAGTGGCTGAGCTCTTTCTTCTCAGCACTGGGCAGCTAGACGGGGATTTATTAACTGAGCACATTTTTCAAGGTCTTCCACGGTTCTCCCCGTGGAGGGTGGGGCCCGCGAACCGTCTCCATTTCTCTACGTGCTTCTTACCCAAGAGGAGAGCACTCTGTCGTGTCATTTGGAGGAGGAAAGGTCAGTGCTCCAGGTTGGCTTTCTAAACCATGACCTACTCTTCCTCTCGACATGTTAGGTTGAGCCATAGGAGACCGGCATCTTTGAGGTATAGAACCAGCAATTAATAGGACTCGACCTAAGCAGACGTCTCACAGGGTAGAACCGCTCCAAATTGCCAGCAGTGCTGCCGGCGAGCCCTACGGCCCATGCGGTGCCCTAAAAATATAACACTGTGTCTAGGAGATCACGAACAGGATGATGAAATGGGGAAAGCCTTTTCCGTTTGCAAGTACGTCCGGAGCAACGACCACTAACCTTGGCAGCGGTAAGGAGGCCGGGTTGGAGGAGCCGCTGCTCCATCCCCGGCCTCAGGGGAGGCCGCGTGCAGGCGCACAGGTCCTGGAGATCTGGGGTGTCTCTGAGTGAGCAGAGCACAGCCCCTGGAGGGACTCTGACACACGCAGCAAATGGTGCTTAGAAAGAAATGGAATACGGTTTCTTGCTCTTAGTTTCTCCTTCGTGCATTTGGCTTGAAAATATTTTCCCCCAGCCTTCCAGAAACCCACCAGTTATAAAACAAAGCACAGTCTACACATGTCACGGTTTCATATCGTTAGATTTATAGAATACGATTAAGTAAGGAGTCTTTTCTAACGAATGTAAAAGAACCTATTCAAGTAAGTGTTGTCCGTCAAAAGCAGCCGTTCTGACGGGCTGTGAACTCCGTTTGTTGTTGCCATTACTGAAAACATTGAGTTTTCCTCTGAGAATTGTCTTCAGACCACCTTAGAAGGCCTCCTATCGATGTAGTTCTAGCACAGAGTAGTGTCCGGCATGGAAGAAAGGCTTAATAAACACTGGCAGAACGAATAGCGTGTTTATTATCTGGCCCGGTCACCTCTCTTATCTGTGAGACTTGTCTCTGCCCAGTATCTGCTATCTGGAACCAGAAGTCCTTCGAAGGATGTCAGTTTGCTGCCACTGAGGACACTTCGGAGAGCCTGTTTTTGGAGATCGTTTTCAAAGAGGTATCCCAGAAATCTGAGTTCAGAATTTTTTTTATACGGCCAGGAAATAAATCTGATAATGTATTCTTTTAAATCATTTTACTCTTTTGAATGAGAAAATCTTTACTTGGGTGGAAATTCACGATACTAAAATTAACATAGCTGTGCGTTATAAAAAGAGTTTGGAAATAACCACATTCCCTTTTGGAAACTTCTGGAATGGAACACGGAGATTCAGATGTAATATCCATTACCATGCCATCTCACGTGTATTTTCCCCTTAGCAAAGCAAGGGGAAAACTGAGCTGGAGACTGTAGATATTTCATATGGATTTTACAGTCCGTGAAGCACTGGGACACGTGAGATGGCTCTCCTAAGTGTTGTTGGCATAGTTCTCAGTGGAAGACTAGAGCACTGAGTCTCACCAGTTGACTATCACGTGGAGAGGTTTCCCAGTGAACCCAACGTAATATGTACTTTTTACAGTGCCTGGATTTTGATTTGAAACTAGTTATCCATTCCCTTGCTCCAGAGTGTTCTGATTTGCCTTTTCGCCTACCTCGGGACGCGGCATGAGCAAAGCTCTGGGGGCTTTAGTTTTTAGCTCACCTCCAGCTCCAGCTCATAATCACGGCTTCAGAGTTTCTGAACCAGGCAAGCAGGGTGGCTTTTGGAAGCTGTTCACTTGGAAATCCCCTCAAGAGAAAAATAATGAAGTGATAGCGGGAAATGCATGAAATTCACCTCTATTATAAAAGTTGCAATAGATGACAATCAGATTATGCATTGCAAAATTTTAACTGAAGAGGTGCATAGCAGAAATACCGGTTCTTATTCTCACGCACAGAGAGCAAGAAACACAGGAGTTGGGTTTCGGGGCACTAATCCTAGTAGCCGAAGCTGATGCAAGTATATTAACCCATTAAATAAGCGAATTCCAAGCGAATCCTGTGAGTGCGATGGCGAAAGGGTGAGCCGTTTTCATCAAGTGATCACAGACTCAGCCCCAGGGCGGAGAGTCCAAGAAGAGACTCTAATGGCCACAAGCACCAAACCCCGCTGAGGTGCGTGTGACCCCGGCCTCCCCTCTGTTCAGCCCAGGATGCGGGACCCACTCACTGGCTCTGACTGTTCGGCTTGCAGAGAACAACACCCTCTCCCTTTACTTCTCTCCAGGACCCCGGCTCCCCAGGCCTTCTGCACAGCTGCGCCAGTCCTCTAGTGGAAGGCAGAGCGAATCAACACCAGCCCCTGTTCCCTGGTTCCCTGCGTATTTGGCGAGGCAGGCCCCACGCTAAGCACTTTATTGCAGGGTGTCGACCATTTCGGCCACTCCGAGGTGTGGGGAGACGCACAGAGCTGGGACTGCGGCCCTGATCTGTCTGCCTCCACCACAGGGGGGGGGGGGTCTCGATGATCCTGTCATATCAGTCCCCAGATGCGCACTCCTTGGAGCCATGGCTTCTGTGGGGGTTGGTCTGTAACGTCGGCACGTAAGGGAACGATTGTGTGTGCCCAGAATGACTCTTGAGAGTCCCTGCCACAGCCCCTTAGCAAGGACAGCGTCTCTGTCAGGCCTGTGAGATGGTGATGTGCTGAAGGCCCACGGGGGTGGGGGGCAAAACCTGCGGGAAGTAGCGGCGGGACCCCGTCTCCCAAAACTGCTCCGGACAGCTGGTCCCTTTAACTAATGACCGCCCTCCTGTCCAGGCCACATCCCCTCTCTGTGCCCTGTATTCTCATCTGCAAAACTCACTCCTGACCCTGGGGTCCGATGCCCCAAACACCCTACCATCATTTAAAACACATAACTGTAGCTCAGCCCCGGGGCCGGACCCCGACATTGTGAGACGCTGGCCAGAGTACAGGCCGTGACAGTCGTCTAAATATTGAGGGTTCCAAGTCAAGCTAACAGACTGATATTCTTAGCGTCTCCCCTCAACAAGTATACTTCAGTATGACATGGAACATCAGATTTGTGTGTGCGGGTTTTTAAGTTTAAAAAGCAGCTATTTTCAGGATATTCAGAAAATTCTGCAAGTGTCACCACTATCTAATTTTAGAACATGTTCATCACCCCAGGAAAGCCTGTATCCATTAGCAGTCGCCCCAGTCCCTCCGCCCCACGTCCGCTCGCAGCCACTCATCCATTTTCTGTCTCTGCGGATTTGCCTGCGTGAACATTTCACATAAATGGAATCCTACAAAAAGTGGCCTTTTGTGACTGGCTTCTTTCCCTCAGCTTTGTGTTTTCCGGGCTCATCCACGTGGACCAGGTGTGAGTGCTTCACTCCCCTGTCCAGCCTGGAACCGTCCCGTCGTCTGGATACAGCCCAGGTTTTGTTAGCCCTGCGTCAGTGGGTGGACATTGGCTCGTTGCACCTTTGGCTGTTGGGAATCATGTTGCCGTGAACATTCATGTGCACGTTTTCACGTTTTGTGTGGACGCGTTTCCAATTAGGAGTGGAATCGCCAGGTCCTCTAGTAACTCGATGTTCAACCTTTGGAGAAATTGCGAGACTTACTTTCCAAAGAGGCTGCACCGTTTTACAGTGACACCGGCAGTATATGAGGGTTCTCATTGCTCCACATCCCCCTGCCCCAAACTGGGTATAGTTGGTTCTTTTTTTTTTTTTTTTTTTAAGATTTTATTTTTAAGTAATCTCTAGACCCAAACGTGGGGCTCGAACTCACAACCCCGAGCTCAAGAGTTGCATGCTCTACCGACGGAGCCAGCCAGGCATCCCTGTTCTGTCTTTTTGATTCTAGCCATCCTGGAGGCTGTGAGGCGATGAAGCCAGGCTTTGAATTTAGAACCGGGGACTCCTGGGGCACCTGGGTAGCTCGGTTGGTTGAGGGCCTGACTTTGGCTCAGGTCATGATCTCCCAGTTGGGGAGTTCAAGCCCCATATCAGGCTCGCTGCTGTCAGCCTGTCAGCGCAAAGCCTGCTTCAGATCCTTTGCCCCCTGTCTCTGCCCCTCCCCGCTTGTGCTCTCCCAAAAAATAAATATGTTAAAAGAGAAAAAAAGAAAGAACCGCGGACTCCTGCAAGGCCCAGGATGGAACCTGGCGGTGTGGGAGGAGCCGCCCCTGCCCCGCCCGCTCTGCGCCGTGAGGCCTCCCCTGCAAGTGTTCGGGTGCCCTGCTCTGTGCATGTGGGCTCTGTCCGTGCTCCTCTCTGTCCGTGCTCCTCTCTGTCCGTGCTCCCGCCAGCAGCTGCTCTGGCCACCTCTCAGGCCCAGAGTGCACACGCCGACTGCCTAGCTTGTCCGTGAGAGGATGGAATGGACAAGAGGCCATTCAGACAGGACGTTCTGGGTCCTGGGTTCCCGGAAGATGGCCTGGAGGAGGAACGTGGGATCTGTGGGCGCACTGCCTTGGCCATGCGGACTTCCCGGCCACGGAGAAGGACACAGCTAGAGGAGGGCTGGATGGGGCTGGGCCCTCTAAAGCACTGGGCCCTGGCACCCACATTTGAAAACTGTGGTAAAACAGGGGTGCCTGGCTGGCTCAGTCAGTTAAGTGTCCAACTCTTATTTCAGATCAGGTCACGATCTCATGGTTCCTGGGCTCGAGCCCCACGTCGGGCTCTGCGCTGATAGCCTGGAGGCTGCTTCGGATTCTCTGTCTCCCTCCCTCTCTGCCCCTCCCCTACTCGTGCTCTGTGTCTCTTTCTCAAAATAAATAAACATTCAAAAAACTTTTTTGGGGAGGCGCCTGCGTGGCAAGCACCTGACTTCGGCTCAGGTCGCGATCTCACACTTCATGAGTTCAAGCCCTGCATTGGGTGAGTTCGAGCCCCGCTTTGGGTGAGCCCCACTTTTCTCTCTCTTTCCCTCTGCCCGTTCTGGGATTCTCTCTCTCTATCTCTCTGCCCCTTGCTCACTTGTGCCCTCTCTCTCTCTCAAAAAATAAAATAAATTAATTTTTAAAACTCAAGTTGAAAAAAAAAAACTGTAGTAGAACATACACAACATTAAATTTACCATTTTCCCATGTTTAAGGGTACAATTCAGGGCATCAAAGACATTTGCATTTCTGTGCAATGATCACCACCACCCAAGACCAAAACTTTGTCATCAGCCCAAACTCAAAGTATATCCATTCACCGCCAACTCCCCATTTCCCCTCCCCCCAGGCCCTGGCAACCACAGTTCTACTTTCTGTCCCCGTGAATTGGCCTGTCAGGTCCCTCATGTTAAGCAGATTCACACCTTCGTCCTTCGTGTCTGGCTTCCCTCCTGGCGCCCACTCTGCCCGAGTCCACGGGGTGGTGCTGGGCAGAGGAAACCTAAACCGCCCGCTGACTGGTTATACTTCCCAGAGGAAATGTATCGCAAACGATGAACGAGCACATAAAGACGGGCTGCCGCACAGGTGGGCATCTGTCACACATCCTTGCTCTCCTGGCCTGGAGGCGGCCTACGTCCCTCGTCCAGACAGCCGCGTAGTCCCCGCCCGCATCCGCTCACTCAAAAGCCTCCGGGCTCGGCTCTCCGGCCCGGCACGCGGGGCCCTTACTGACTGGCCACAGCCCATTTTCTCAGTCGTATTTCCAACTTGCTTTGCCTCCCAGGCTGGGCCTGTGGCTTTTCTCACTTCTGTCTCTTCCCACGTGGTTCCCTCGGCCTGGAACACCCCACCGTCTCCTTGGCCTGAAGGAAGGATACAACTCAAATATCCTCTTTCCTGATCACACCCGGTCTCTCACCAAGCAGGGGTGGATACTCGGCCCTCTGTGCCCTCAGAACACACGACTGCTTCCCCCTACACGTGGGTCCTTCAAGTCCCCCGCCAGCGGGGCCAGGTTGGCACATCTCTGTATCTCCTATCCCAGCAGCCATCGCGGTGCGATGCTCAGTAAACGCGGTGGCGAGGACCGGAACCTGTGGCGTCACCTCCACCTTCCACAGCTGCGGGCACCTGCGAGCCCCGCTGACCGGACCCGTTCATAATAACCGGTCACGGCAACGACACACGGGAGGGACTGTTCACGCCTCCTGCCTTCATGCAAACCTTACCGTGCCCTGTCTCTGTCTCCCTTTCCTTGCCTTCCCTGTCCATCTGTCTCAGGCTGCGGTTTCCTTCTCGCCCCTGCTCTTCTCTGCACAGGTGTCCATGCTCTGGGCCAGGGCTCCTTCCACAGGCTCGCATCCTTGTTCCCCCGAGACCCGGCCTCACGCAGGAGCCACAGCGGTCCCGAACTGAATTACTCACCTTAGCTGCAGTGCCATTTGCTGTATTTCTTTATTTCTCTCCGTTTTGCTGCTTAGTCTTTCTCTTAGTTCTTGAATTTTTATGAGGCCAAAACAGTTCCCGAACATTCTCTCCCTTCCGTGCTGCTGAATCTCCGCTCTCCTTGCCCAGAGCTGGAGTGGGTCCTGTGCCGATGTCAGTGTGAAATGACTGGGTATCTGCAGGTCCCTCTAGGGATTCTCTCGGGCATCCTCCTAGAATTGCTGAGAGAACCCCAGGAGTTCCTTCCTAGGGGACTGTGTAGGTTCCCACAGGAGCATTCTGGAAACCGGAGGTGAGGACGTGTAGTTGTCCCACAAATCGGAAGCTCAACTGGCATTTGGTGGCCGGGGCCACGCAGACGAAATGCGATTGTTGAGACAGTCCTGACCAACGCACGTGCTGCTGGACGTGCAGGGACTCGGGGTGGCTCACATACGTGCAGCAAGGGCATCACCTGGGAACCTCCTAGAAGTGCCAATTCTCCAGCCGCACCCCCAAACTTGAGGTGGCTTTATAATGTGGTAACTCGGCCAGGTAGAACCACATCCCCCCAGAATTCCCTTCCCTGTATGTTTCCAGGTAGAGCGAGCCACAAGGGTCACTGTGGGATGAGACCTGGAGGAAGTTAAGTGGCTGCCATTTTGCTTTGATGCCTGGGCCGTGGGGCCGGTGCCTTTGCAGCTCACCCTGGCGCCTGTCTGCATGCGGCCGCTCTGTCTCCAACGTCTCCCACTCCTCAGCCACGGGTGGGCTTAGCTCCGTGGTGAAGGGTGCCAGCTCCTCCCGCAGGAGACCCACGTCGTCAACACTGGAGACAGCGAGAACTGACCCGCTCCAGGTGGTCCCGGCTCTGCCCTCCTACACCCACCTTCCCTTCCCAACTGCCTGCCCGCGGGCCCCAGGCCCAGCTCCCCCAGGTCCGTAAGGTCAGGTCTGTGTGCGCGTGCGTGTGAAGTAGCCCCGGCTGGCCTGCCTCTCTCACTAACCCCTGGCTGGTACTCTTACTGGTCACAAACTCCAGGAGCGGAGCCCAGCAACGTGAACCAGGTCTCTAGGTGCTTCTGACCTATGTGAAAGTTGGAGAACCGGTGATGGAGGGGAGCCTTTTTTACGTGGGCCTAGACCCTAACTTTTTACATCTACGGGAGGACAGCTTTGCACGGTTTTAATAGATCCGAATTTCCCGGAAACTCGACTCCTATAGAAAACGAGGGAAAATAGGGGCACCTGGGTGGCTCGGTTGGTTAAGTGTCTGACTCTTGATTGCAGCTCAGATCATGATCTCGCGGCTCGCGGGATCGAGCCCTGCGTCGCACGGACAGCGTGGAGCCTGCTCGGGATTGTCATTCTCTCTCTCTCTCTCTCTCTCTCTCTCTCTCTCTCTTTCTCTCTCTCTGTTCCTCCCCTGTACGTGCGCACTCCCTCTCTCTCAAAATAAACTTAAAAAATAAATTAGGGAAAATGGCACATTCTTTTGTTCAGAACTTTCCAAGGTTTTCGCCAGTTCCGAAGAGTCACGTCCTCAACTCCTTGGTGCGTGAGTCACAGATACGGCACACACCTGTACTGGTCCGTACTTGGAGCGGTCCTGTTCTCGATGATTTTACACACGTATGAACATTTATGTATTGAAACACATATTCTTTTGTATTCACACTGGTTCTGAAATTGTAAGTAATCCATTTTCCCTGTAAAATTTTATTTCAGGGCAGAAAAGGGGTACTCACAGAAGGCATGCTGGGGCTGGCAGTGTTGAGGGCCACCGTCTAGTGTTAATGACCGAGCTTGAGCAAGGGTGTCTGTGTGTGCGCATGTCTGTGAGCACACCCGGTTTCTGGGCCATGTGTTGGTATTATACGATTATATATGGTATCATATGATTATAGCACCTTCATAAAGAGGAATCGGCTAGTTCTCCAGTTTTTTGTTTTTGTTTTTTAATGAAACTGTCTCTATGGCATGGGAACTTGCTGTTCTTTAGAAGTTTAAAATAATGGGGGTGCCCGGGTGGCTTAGTCAGTTAAGCCTCGGACTTCAGCTCAGGTCATGATCTCACGGTCCACGGGTTTGAGCCCCGTGTCAGGCTCTGTGCTGACAGGTTGGAGCCTGGAGCTGGCTTCGGATTCTCTCTCCCTCTCTCTCTGCCCCTCTCCCACTCATGCTCACTCTCTCAGAAATAAATATTAAAAAAAATACAGTTTAAAAAAATGCACCCACAAAATTGCCCTACCCCCAACATTCTTTTTGGTGCTACTCCTTGAAGTTTTTTTTTTTAAACATTTTATTTTTTAAATGTTTATTTAAACTTAAAAAAAAATTATTTATTGAGAGAGAGAAAGACAGAGAGTGGGAAAGGGACAGAGAGAATCCCAAGCAGGCTCCGTGCTGTCAGCGTAGAGTCCTATGTGGGGCTTGATCTCATGAGCCGTGAGACCATGACCTATGCCAAGATCAAGAGTTGGACACTTAACCAACTGAGCCACCCAGGCATCCCAGTTTTTCCTTCTTGAGTATTGGGTAATTTCATATTTTCTACTAAACTAGTAGTTTATAAATATCTATGTTTTTAAGAAAATTAACAGTATCGGGGCACCTGGGTGGCTCAGTCGGTCGAGAGTCTGACTTCGGCTCAGGTCACGATCTCATGATTTGTGAGTTCGAGCCCCGCGTCGGGCTCACCGCTGTTAGCATGGAGCCCACTTCGGGTCCTCTTTCCCCCTCTGTATGCCCCTCCCCCACTTATGCTCTCTCAAAACATAAACATAAAAAAAGAAAATTAACAGTATCTTGAGATTTTCAAATTAACATGTAATTGTACACAGTAGTCTTTTACAGTCTTTGTCCTATTTTCTTTCTTTCCTTTTTCTTGCTTAATTCATAGAGGTTTCGACGTGGCGCCAGCCTTCGGTCTTCAGATCCGTCCTGGTTCCGTCCCCTCTGCTTTATGCTGCAGGTGCAGACTCCTGCTGGCTGCCCCTCTGCGCTCCCCTACGGACGAGCTCCTGTCACGTCTGGTCCTGGGCACAGGCAGGATGCTGGGCGGAAGGAGAGGAGCCAGGGGACTCGCCCCGTCTGTACTTCCTGCACTCTCCCGTGGTCGCCTCGGCGGTCCCCGCTCCTGCCCCGCCAGCAGGATTACTGCGCTCCCCTCCCCACTGGGAGGCCCGACGGTTCAGCTCCGGTCACCCGTCCCCCCCACCCCTCTGTAACCCTCCGTGTAACTTCCTGCTGTGGCTCACGTCGCGGGCCCCACCTTCCCTCGCAGCCGCTTTCAGATGCCTCGTAACTAAATCCCCAGGACTGAATTATTCGGTGTTTGGCTCTCTGGCTGGACGATGACTGATTGATATGCATTTTATCAGGATTTTTCAGCAAAACAGCTTTTCAATTCATGCATTAACTCTACTATTTTCTAAAATAACTCATTTCTGCTTTTACTTGGTGACATAATATAGCTTAGACAGTGGTATGCTGCAGTATTGGCCAATTTCTGTGGGGTTAAATATTTCCATTTTGGCCATTTTCAAACTGCTGATGTGACATAACTGAACAGGGCTGAGAAGAGAACAGAATCAGCTCTCGAGGGGGCGTGGGGGAAAGGAGTAGAAGACTTCACAAAATGGTAAAAATGATCACATCTTGAAACTGTGTATTTTAAACTCCAAAATGTAATGTTCCCTCGACTTCACTGTTAAACTGAAAAAAACAAAACAAAACATTTCATTTGAAAATTAGGTTTTTCTCACTTCAAAATAATTCCTAAGTGCTATGAATTGAGTTGTGCCCTCAACCCAAATTTCTACGTTGCAATCTTCACCACCAATGTGACTGTATTTGGAGATGAGGCCTTTAAAAGATAAATAAGGAGGGGGCGCCTGGGTGGCTCAATCAGGTGAGCACGTGACCCTTGGTTTTGACTCGGGTCATGATCTCAAGGTTTGTGAGATCGAGCCCCACGTGGGGCTCTGGGCTGACAGTGCAGAGCCTGCTTGGGATTCTTTCTCTCCCTCTCTGCCCGTCCTGTGTGCATGCTGTCTCAAAAATAAATAATAAACATGAAAAAAACAGGAGAGGTAAATAAAGTTAAATGAGGTCATAATGTTGGGGCCCTAATCTGAAAGGACTGAAGGACTCTTGTCCTTCCAAGAGGAAAGAGACCAGAGCCCTCTCTGCAGGGACACAAAGAGGCCATGTGAGCACACAGAGATGGTGGCTCCCACAAGCCAAGAGAAGAGGCCTCACGATGAAAGTTGCTGCCACCCGGATCTTGGACGTCCAGCCTCCAGACTGTGAGTACTGAGTTTCTGCTGCTTGAGCCCCCCAGTCTGTGGGGTTCTGTTACGGCGGCCCGAGCTGAGGAATACAAGTATGCCCTCCCCACAGCCAGAAAACCAGAGCCGTGATGGTCACCGTTTGTTCGGGGTGATGAAAGTTCTGGAACTGGATGCGGTGATGCTTGTGCAATGCTGTGGGTGTACTTCATTCTGTGCAATTGTATGCTTCAAACTAAAAAAGACCACAGATTGTTATATGTATTTTACCACAATCATTTCTCCTTTTTATTTTTTGAGAGAGAGAGAGAGAGAGAGCGCGCGCGCGACAGCGCCCAAGTGAGCAAGGGGCAGAGAGGAGAAGCGGACTGAGGGAGAAGGAGGAGGCTCACCCGAAGCAGGGCTCAAGCTTACCCAACGTGGGGCTTGAACTCACGAACCGTGACATCATGACCCGAGCCGAAGTCATATGCTTAACTGAGCCACCCAGATGCTCCCCACAATCTTTAAGAATTGACAATATACCAAACCACTGAATCGTACACTTTCAATGGGTGAATTGTATGGTGTGTGAACTGTACCTACGGTGTATGAATTACATGTCAATAAAGCTATTTTCTAAGAACTCAGAGTCCAAACAGTGACTAGTAATCAACTAATTTCAAAACCAAAATGGCAGAACATTCTTTAACAAGTGGGACAGTGAGAAATTATATGTGATGGGGATGCAGAGGCACTTTAATATCTGCTACAGACCGGACTGCCAAAAAGAAACGTCCCTTGGGCCTACTCCTCTGGGAGGGCGGGGGCTGGTCTGGCAAGGTGCCACCCTGGTCAAGGCTGTGTTCCATGGTGGACCAGGGGGATGGGGGTGGGGTCCCAGCCTCTGCCTGAACTCGGGGGCCGCATGGGGTACCGGGGACAAGGCCTGTCTCCCCACCCTGGCTCTCAGCACCCTGAGAACTATTTGCCTCCCATTTTTTTTTTAAATTTTTAAATGTTTTATTTATTTTTGGGAGAAAGAGTGCAAGCAGAGGGGGGGCAGAGAGAGGAGAGACACAGAATCCGAAGCAGGCTCCAGGCTCTGAGCTGTCGGTACAGAGTCCAACATGGGGCTCAAACCCATGAACCGTGAGATCGTGACCTGATCGTTGACCTGATGCCCAACCTACTGAGCCACCCAGGCGCCCCTGGGGTTGACTCTTTTGTTTTTTTCATGTTTACTGGCCCATATACATTTTGAGCTCTGTAAAAAAGTTCACAAAACTGGTTTACAACATTTGCTGTTGTTTTGGTTCTCACTCTGATACTGTGAATACAGACAGGGAGGAAACACTGCCGTTCTACACGGGGGGTGGGGTGAGGGCAAAACGGTCGCTGCCAAGTGTTTATTGCGCCACGCATCTTGCCAATTATTTTTTAATACATTACATTACTTCTAACTTTCTCAACAACCCTGGTAGGCGGTTATCACTAAAACTGGGGCTAAGAGAAGCTGGTTAATTAGCCCGAGGCCACTGGGCTGGGAACGGGGACCTGTGGTCACTTGAGTCCTAAGGCAGTACCTTGGCTCTCCGGTAGCTCCTTCTCTTCTTAGAGGCCTGGGCAGGGAGAGGCTGGAGTCAGCAGGCCGCACGGTGGTCCACCCAGTCCCACACGTGCAGAGAGGCGTCGCTTGCTGCCGATAACAAGGTCCTCGGCTTGTGGGGGTGCCAGGTGTGGGTAGTGACCAGTGGCGCAGTATCTGTCTGATGGTCTTCCAGGAAGATGTGACCTCTGTGAGTGAAGACAGGTTCTACTTGGCCCCCCGTTCCGTCCCAAGATGTGGCATCATAGACCTGGACTGTCCCATCAAAACCTGAGGAAGAACAAGAAAAGAGAGGATTGACACTGAAACTCTAAGGTAATTTTTCATTTTTTTGAAAAAAGTTATCTCTATGCCCAACGTGGGGCTTGAACTCACGACTCTGCGATCAAGAGTCGCATGCTCTACTGACTGAATCAGCCAAGCACCCCTAAAGTAATTTTTAAAGTTTGTTTGTTTGTTTGTTTATTTATTTATTTATTTAGAACGTGAGTGTGTGGGAGGGGCAGAGAAAGAGGGGGAGAGAGAGAATCCCAAGCAGGCTCCACACGGTCAGTGCTGACTCCAATGTGGGGCTCGAACTCACGAACCATGAGATCTGACCTGAGCAGAAACCAAGAGCCGGCTGCTTAACCGGCTGAGCCACCCAGGCGCCCCACCCCTAAAGTAATTTTATAGTTTGCTCTGTGGTACTAAAACAGGCTATAGGATGAAAAGTCAAATAACAAGATGCTTAAGGCCAGGGGCGCCTGGCTGGCTCAGTCGGTATGGCATCCAACTCTTCGATCTCAAGGTCATGACTCTGAGTCCCACACTGAGTGGAAATTACTTTAAAAAAAGAAAAGATGCCTGAAGCCAACCGAAGGGCACATATCCTCTGCCCTCAATGTCGGCTCCACAGGGCATGTGATGGTGTATTTCTGTCGTTCATCTATTATGTGCCAGGTGTGAGGCCAATCCTAGACATGAATTCTTTTAATCCTCAGAACTGTATGAAATCGGTACTCTTATTCCCTGGGGAACCAGGGAACTGAGGCCTCAGAGTCTTTTGAGTCTTGCCTCAAATTCCAGTCCTGCCACATGTGAACCCTCTCAGCAGATGGCCTTGCCTCCTGCTTGGTAGGGATACGGAAGGCTTTAGAGAGAAGCACCCTCCTGTCCCCCATGACTTAGCTCTACCCACACTCACTCCAGCCCACTGTCTACTTGCTACCAAAAAGCCAATTCCTCCACCAAGCTCGGTTCTTTCCTTCTGCTCTTTGTGGATCCTGCCATTATCAATGATCTTTTCTTAATCTCTCGACTATTCTCTCAACCTCTCCCTTCAATGGATCCTTCCCACTGGCTTTTAGAGATGCTCATTAACACCCTTATTTGGCTAGAAACTGCCAGGCCAGACCCAGGAGCCTACGGACCCGGTGGCCTGCTATCATTCGAAAAGCAAGCAGGCTGGGAAGCACTTTGCCATACCCTCAGCTCTTCCTAGAGCCGTCCCGGGGCCACCCTGCTGCCTCGTTCTCTGTAGGCCTCTCGGCCAACGTCAGCTCCGAGCTCCCGCCCAGGTAGGAAAGGCCTGCTACCGATGTGGAAGTTTAGTAGCCAGAATGGGGAAGGGCCTGCCACAGAAGCACCTGGAAAGCTGACCTCAAACTTTCAGCTCCGGGCCAGATGTATTACGGGGCTGCGGGCTCCTTCCTGAGCACCATACAGTCCTCTGGAAGAGAGGGATCAAGTAACAGACACAAAAGGATGCCCGGCGGTACCTGAAATAGCCAGGCAGTCGTCCAGGCCTGGAGCCCAGGTCACTCGCAGCAGCTCTGGGGCGGGGCTCGGTGCGGACACGGGGCACCGCCCCGAGCTCACAGGGTGGCAGAGATCCCGGGGATCAAGGAGACGGAGCTGCCCGTCTGAGCCAAGGCTGGCAATGCTGGGCCCAGGGCCCCGGCGTCGGCCCCCAACTTCAGCACACCACCTCCTTGCAGCGGCCCCGGGGTCGGGGCCGGCATTCTCTGACGGCGCCCACTTCTGGCGGATGTCGACGAGCCCCAGCCGGCCCGAGGCACAGCAGAAGGCAAAGGTGTCTGCGTCCAGGACCTGCAGGCTGCTCAGCTCCTCACTGTCGCCGACCCCTGAAAGACACACGGCGACACAGAAAAGCTGCTGGAGTCACAGGAGTCCGGCCGGGTCCGAGCCCCGTCCTCCGGAAGCTTCCCTCTGGCCCCAGGCACCTCGCCACGCTCCGCCCGGCTGGGTCGGTGCCGGTCCCGGGCCTGCCTCCTCCAGCCCCGGTGCGGGAGCCCCTCGAGGCCAGGGCCCGCCTCGCCTCCACCTGGTCTCCCCAGCGCCTGGCACACGCGGCTGAACTCTCTTCTTCACACGGCTAAGGGGGGCCGCCAGGAGAGGCCGGCAAGGGCCGAGCTGCTGCGGTACCTGAGGAGTACGTGGTCTTCTGAGTTTCCAGATCCACAACCTTCAGACCGCGGAGCCTCGCCCCGTGCAGAACCCCGGGGGCCGTCGAAGAGAAGATGGCCACCCTAGGCCAGAGATTCCCCTCCTCCTCCTGCACGGCAATGGTGCCGACAGCCTGAATGACGTCTGGGGGGAAAGGAGGAGAGGCTGAAGCCCGGGACGGTGAGGAAGTCTCCGGACCTCACAAAGTGAGGGCCGGCCAGCAGTCTTCCCTCGTGCCTTTAGGAGGTCAAGGAAGAGAAAGGGAGCTGACAGGTGGCAAAAGGGAGGATGTGAGACACGAGCACTGGGTTCTGCTCCCAGTTCTGAAACGGTCACAGGTGCTTTCGTCTCTTTCCAATTTGTCCTACACACGGTTCTGCGGAGGGGAGATAATGAACCATAGTAGCCACCTCAGAACCCCAAGAGCAGTTGGGGCTTTTTATAGTTTTGCAAAGAACAAATAAAGATAGAAGAAAGCAGAGAGCACCCTGATGATGTCATTTACATCGTAGGTGAAAATAACGGTACAGAGGCCACGAACCAATAGTATGTTTTCAGACGCATGTTCCACGACCTCCAGCGATCCGCTGAAGCCCAACAAGTAATGGTTACAACACAGATGTCGTCTTCAGACATAGACGGGGCGGGAAGGCCCACGACATTGTGAACAGAAGAGTCGCCGGACCTCAAGTTGAAGGAAATTTCAGTTGTGTTTGTCTCAGCCTGCTTGGTTCTCACCGCCACCTGCTACGGTTGCTGCTTCTCTTAATGGCAGCCATTTTGGACTCGGCTGAGAACAATGAGTTTGCTGCACACACTACTTAATGTGGGGGACGCAGATTTTCCACTTTATGTTTTCTTGCTCCAAGACAGGCTCATTATTTGGTCTCCGGATTCTCTGAAGAAAACGGAGACCTATCTATTCTTTAAATTCCGCAGGCTAGGTAAAAGCCAGCATGAGGAAGGAACGGGTAAGAAGGAACGCTGACGTGGCTTGTCAAGCGAGCACATGGCAGCAAGTCCCCCTGAGAGCGTTCCCATCCCAGGGGTGCACGGCCGTGTCCGGGCCGGGCTAGAATGCAGACGGCCCTTGCGTGTTGCTCCTCAAGCCCACGGGCTCCGGGTGGCCTTGCCCCAGACTTATTGAACGTAATCGCTCCTTCCACAGGAGCTACACAGGCTAGGAGCAGACACAACAGCTGAGCCTCAGGACCAGCGTTGGTCTCTGGGGAGCACCGATGGGGCTGGGATTCAAACCAGCCCCAGGAGAGCCTTCCTGACTCCCCTGGGCCACGTGTGAGCCCCTCTTTCCTTTCCACACCCTCTGAGGAGCCTGGAACAGATTCCCCAGGACCTGCTGCTCAGATGTGATCTGTCCTCTGATGGGGGAGAGGAGGCGGCCACGGGAGAGCCGTCAGAGACCTATTTCAAAGATGGGGTGGGTAACAAGGCTTTGGAGCTTCCTGACTGGAGAATCACTTTATAGCTTTTCAGAAAGTGCAGGCCTCCTCCTTCTCCTCCTCTCTCTAGTCAGTGGTAAAATGCTCTCCTCCAGGGAATCCACACCACATTTAGCAAACCAGCCCCAAACGGAAAAGAGAAATGACTAGAAAATCAAAGCAAAAGACAGTGAGGCACCTCCAAGAACTTGGCAATAAAAGAAGGTTGTGGCTGAGGATTAACCCAACACAGAGTAGGTCAGAGCTAGAGGTAGGCACACTCCTAAGGAGTCAGAATGGCGCCCTCATCTGCAACACTGAGCAAATGGATGAATGGTGATCTAAAGGACGGTGGTGTCCCTGAGAGGGGGCTGTCCAGCCATGGGAACAAAGAAAACACTGGGGTCTGTCCAGGGCAGGAAGGGCCATGCCAGACTGAATATTGAACTTCAGGGTGGATACAGCAGGTGAAATTCAGCTGAGACCTTTCGAAATGTATTCATCCAGCTCAATGGTTTCCCCAGCCCTAGTGAAAGAAGAGGCCTTGGGCGCTCACCAGGGGCACGGACGGCAGTGAGGGCTGGCCAGCAGAGCCTTCTCAAGTTTTATACTTTCTGCCTAAGACAACGTGCAGAAACACAATCTGGAAACTTCTCAGCTGATTCCTCTTGTTACGGTTTCATTTAGCACGCAGTCTTTGATTACATTCCATCTTCTATAGGCAAAGAATAAGGACCTGGAATATTCCACGTTTAGGGATACTCATGGCAGTCTTTTGAGTCTGCTGAGTACGTCTGCCTCTATAAACAGATTAGTTTAGGACGTGGTAACAATATCAAGTTTTTGAGACAACAAAGCTGTGGGTCAAAACCTGGACCTTGGAACATTCACCTAGGTAATGCTACGTTTTTAGGCTTCTAGGCAAACAGCTGGCCAATCTTCCCTAGGCTCTGGAATATTCTGCTCTAATATCTAGGGGAAGGTAAGTCTTGATCTGATCTCCCATTCCCACATGAATGTCAAAGCAAGCCCCCTTCGGCCAGTAGCTCTCCTGGGCCTGGGGCTTTAGGTCCTATTTGGCACCTGGTACCAAACAGGCGCCTCCACATGGTGAGACTCCTCTCCCACTCATCTCTAAACAACTGCCACCCCACATGGCCTATTTTTAGGCAAAGATAAAGAAACAACTAAAAGTTACTGGCATAATTATGGACAGACAGAAAGATCAGTGGAACAGAACTCAGAGTCCAGAAATAAATCCTCGTATTTATGGTTAGGCAACTTCAACAAAGGCATCAAGACAAATCAGCGGAGAAAGGTGAGGCTTTTTGACAAACAGGGAAGAGACAACTGGATATTTCCATGCAAAAAGATGAACTTCGACTGTTACTTCAAGCCATACACAAAAGGGAACACTAAAGAGATCACAGGCTTAAATGCTGGTGCTAAAACAAACTCTGGGAGAAAAATAAAACAAAGCAGAGGGGACAATGTGTGGGTTAGGTAAAGATTTCCTAAATAGGACCCTAAGAGTACAGTCCTTAAGAGAAAACACTGACAAACTGGACCTCATTAAAATGTAGACCTCTCATGCTTCAAAACACTCTTAAGAACGTGAAAAAACAAGCTACAGACTGGGCGAAAATATTAGCAAAACACGTACTGGGCGAATAATTTGTATGTGGGATGTACAGAGGACTCTTACAACTCATTGAAGACAAAAAGGTAAATCAAAAACTGGGCAAAATATGTGACCAAATATGAGCACCAAGAAAAGAAGAAGCATCTATGTTTTTGCTTTGCTGTTGTATCCCCAGCTGGACACATCCAAAGAGCACAAAGAGGAACTGTTGACTGAATGAGGAGATGTTAGTTACTGCTACAAATAATAGTAACAGTAATTATCATAACTGTTCCCCTTTAAAAAGTTTATTTAGGGGTGCCTGGGTGGCTCGTTGGTTAAGCGTCCGACTTCGGCTCAGGTCATGAGCTCACAGTCTGTGGGTTCGAGCCCCGCATCGGGCTCTGTGCTGACAGCTCAGAGCCTGGAGCCTGCTTCCGATTCTGTGTCTCCCTCTCTCTCTGGCCCTCCCCTGCTCATGTTCTGTCTCTCTCTGTCGCAAAAATAAATAAAAACATTAAAAAAAAATTTTTTTTTAAATAAAAAGTTTATTTATTCTGAGAGTGAGAGATGGGATAGGGGCAGAGAGAGAGAGAGGGAGACAGAGAATCCCAAGCAGGCTCCGTGCTGCCAGCACAGAGCTTGACATGGGGCTCAAACTCATAAACCGTGAGATCATGACCTGAGCTGAAACCAAGAGTTGGACGCTTAACCGACTGAGCCACCCAGATGCCCCTTTCTTTCTTTCTTTTTTTCAAAGTGATCTCGACGCTCAACCTGGGGCTCAAACTCATCACCCCAAGATCAAGAGTCACAGACTCCACAAACTGAGGCAGCTGGTACCCCCGTAAATGTTCCCTTTCATTGACAAATCTGCCTCCAGGAACCAGCTCAAAGCAAAATGGAGGCAAGGACCACATTGCTGCTCAGTAAGTACCCTACCACTTTTTTTCAGAGCCCGTACACCTGTACTGAGATCAATTATTATCATCTAACTATACTTAGACCCTGACATGGTTCTGAGCAGACCCTGAAGTTACACTAGACCCATGACAAGGTCGTGTTACTATCTTTGTAACTTTCAACAAGTTAGCTTCTCTGGGACAGACTCTGTTCTCAGACTTCTGAGAATATAATGATATCATGCATGGAAAGTACTTGGTACAGTGCCTGGAGTATAATACGCTTATTAATATTACTGTCACCTTGTACAGATTATTGGTTAATTTGAGCAAGTATCTATTAAACGTACAGTGAAACCAGAACATCAAAGGGCCTGGGACAGCATGCCATCTCAGCCTGCTGGGGGTGGGGGAAAAAAACAACAAAACTGCCTCATGAAGATCTGAATAGGCATTTCACCAAAGAAGATATATGAATGGCTGATAAGCCCATGAAAAGATGCTCAATATTATTAGTCATTAAAAAGATGTAAATGAAAGCCACAAGCAGAAACAATTTCACACTCAATAGGATGGCTTTAACAAAAAAGACAAAAACAAATGTTAATGAGGACATGGAAAAATAGAAACCCTCACACACTGTTGAGGGGAATGTAAACAATGAAGCCATTTTGGAAAACACTTTGGAAGTTTCTTTATTTTTTTTTTTAATTTTTTTTTTCAACGTTTATTTTTTATTTTTGGGACAGAGAGAGACAGAGCATGAACGGGGGAGGGGCAGAGAGAGGGGGAGACACAGAATCGGAAACAGGCTCCAGGCTCCGAGCCATCAGCCCAGAGCCCGACGCGGGGCTCGAACTCACGGACCGCGAGATCGTGACCTGGCTGAAGTCGGACGCTTAACCGACTGCGCCACCCAGGCGCCCCTGGAAGTTTCTTT